TCAGCATAGATCGAGTCGAAACACTGGGCCATGAGGGCGGAGTTTCTGATTGACGAGACTCGATCAATGCTGCATAGAGGAAGTCCTTCCCCAGTCTGACTTCCTTCAGAGAACACTTTATGCTAAAGCAAAGTACTCCTTCTTAATATATAATGAACTACAGGGGACCATTTGAATAAATAAAGAATATCAATTATAATTCATCAATTATTTCCAATTTACATACTTAATTGCTGAGTGGCCATTATAATACACTAAATTAACACTTATTCCTCTTTTTTAAGCAGAAATGTCAGTGAACATTTTAGCCTGAATTCCAAAACTAACTACTTTAAATTATAGGCGACCTTTCAAAATTACACACTCTTTGTGTAATTTTACACAAGATTAAATCTTGCAACAGAGAATAATATCCATCTTAACTGATCATATTGACATATTTCTCCTTCCCCAAAACTAATTCTTGCCAGGTCCCACCTCTGCAAAATAATCTGCTTCTAGTGACTGCACCAACAAATACATGAGGAAAAAAGGTTCTTCACTTTCTATTTACTGTAGCATTTGTAAGGAGAATTTTATCTCTTGGGCTTCCAGATTCTCTTCTGCTTCAAGGAGAACAGAGAAGGACAGGAAAAATCCTGCCTCTTCTCCATGTGGCTGTGGTGCAACAGGAAGCTTGTTTTCCAACAATTAGGAAAATAGGAGGATGGTGGAACAGAATGTTAACTATCCTAAGCTTGTAGATTGGTTCAGAAGCAGCTCTCTGTTTTTTTCTAGTACAATTCAGAATATTTCAGAATTAAACCAACATGAATGTGACTGATTTACCATTTGGGGATTATCTTCAGATAGCCAAGCAGCAGAGTTTAGTCATTCTGTAATGAGTTGACAAATTATAATCTGCTCAACTGCTATCTACCCCTTCAAATCTGTCATTTCCATTGTTCTTCATGAACATCAAATACATTTCTAAATGAACTTAGATCCTCCTGTATTGCCAACGGCTTTTTTTGCCGGTCAGAGTTGCCAAATGAATAGTAAATGCTTTGAATTGGCAGTGAAAGGCTGAACTGCAATCTGCATGAAACTCAGTATTGATTAGAACATAAATCTTTTCTGTTCTAGGTAGCTATCTCTAGATTGATTGATCAAATGTATTATCTCTTGTCATCTTGCCTGAAATTGCACAATCTGCTGAGTTTTGAAAGTTTTAATATATTTTCTAACGTACAACATCTCTGAATGCCACTTAGCAGTATTGTAAGTAATTGGCATCCATGAGAATTAAGCTGCTGACCTTTTCTATGTAATGCCTTCTCATAAAATGGAGATTATTAGTCTCAGCTATAAACAGATGCTAAATTTAATATTTGATTATTTTTATATTAATGACAAATATTTATGCCTTATGTTGGCAAAGTTGTAAATGTTTTAGATTAGTTCTACTATGAAATGTTTTTCTTTCTTTAGAGGTAACTTTACCACTAGTTACACTTTAAACACTTTGCATTTCATAATCTACTCATTTCACTTAATTTTTATTGCACAGGAATGTGAAAAGCTTGAAAAAAATAATTTTAGGGAAGCAAAGTATTCCACCATATAATCTGCATCCTGCTTGCAGCAGGAATTGCCCTTTGGTGAAAAGCCAAAATAACTCCCGATACCATTTTTCCATTCAATGAACAGTGGATATTTGAAGTACCGTATTTCCCATGAGTTTATGAGCTGCCACAACACCATTTTTCTCTAGCCAGAGAAACCAGGGTCACTGCCAGACACATTCAGAGCTGCAGACAAAGAAGAAAACTGGCAGACAATGAAGGAACACTCTCCTCCTCCAATTAATGCAACACATCTTAATGCTGTGGTAGCATTTTGGATTTGATCTCTAAATAGGCAACTGAGCACACTTATCTGTGACATTTTAAAAACATATGTAGTTGCTGTAAGATGAAAACAGGTGATTCTGTGTGCTCCAAAGCACCTTTTGGATAATCATATTTGAAACATTTCATGCTGTAGCAGACTGTCTCTCTTCTGACCTTAAGGACGAACTAAGCAGAACTAGAAATAAATACATTCACTTCCACTACCATTCACTCAATTATAACTACCAAATATCATAAAAATGAATAAGAATGATAGAGAATATAATCATTAACTTGGATTTTCAAAATATGAATCCTTTATCTGGTTAAGAACAACCGGGTATTTACGAGATCGCCTTCTGCCGTCAGTAGTCTCCCACCGACCAGTACACTCCCACAGAGAGGGGCTCTCAAGGTGCCATCGGCCAAACAATGTCGGCTGGCGGCCCCCAGGGGGAGAGCCTTCTCTGTGGGGGCATCTACCCTCTGGAACGAGTTGCCCCCGGAGATACGGCGGATCCCAGATCTGCGCACTTTCCGCCGTGCCTTGAAGACATTTTTGTTTCATTAAGCTGGGCTGACCTGACCTAACTTTTTAAATTGTTTTAATTTTAAATTGTTAAATTATGGGTTTTAATATAGGGGTGTTTTAACTGTGGGCCAAATTAATTTAATCAGATTTTAATATTGTTTTAATTTTTATATTTTCTATATTTTATCTGCTGGCTGTTCACCGCCACAAGTCCTTCGGGAGAAGGGCGGTATACAAATATAATAAACATAAACATAAACTTATTTAACATTATGGCCTTTTCTTTACTCATATACTGATAATACTCTCTTAGAGTGTGAAATATAAGAAGCAGGCCATATTAGTATTCAGGATGTGTCTGCCAAGGGCTTTTAGGATTAAGATAAACAATTCAGGAAGCATATCTGAGAACTCAATCTTCAAATACATTAATGTATTTTAGATCAATGTGCAAGGGGCATATACTCTGTTATTTTCTTATTATTCACTCGCAAAGTCATCTTTATGTTTCCAAGAGGGAACAGTAAGAATATTGATTTGGATTTTTTTCAGCTGAAACTTGAATTATCCCATAGTACTGGTCAATATCATTTACTGTCAGTTTCTTCCACTATCATTAATAATATAAATATTAAAACAAAAGACAATAGGGAATAAGAATACAAGGAAGACAATTTCTCTTCCTATCACAACCTTCATGTACAGTACTACAGCCTTCATTATCCTCAGGCCAATGCCAGCACTTTTATTACATTTCTACCAATAATTAATTTGGTAGTCCTGTGATGATTCCTTAGTATGCTCTGAAAGGTATGAAGAAAAATGTTGATTTGTAAATTAAAAAGAATGACACAAACAGTGGCCAATGAGAATATGCCTTGAAAATAAGCAACCTTGTGGTAAAGTACATGTAATCCTCAAGTCATGACAGTTCACTTAACAGCTGTTCAAAATTGCAAAATAATCCCCACCCCCACTGTATTTATGACACAGTTACGAATGTTGCATCACCACAGGAGTTGTTCACACTTACGAAGGACCATAGAGGCATTGCAACATTGCCCTGCCTGTTTCCCCGCTCCCCCCGGGTCTCCACAGGAAGATGCTTTTTGCCCCGAGGCTGCAAGCAGGCAATGAAACTGGCAGAGAGGCTGGAGAAGCGACAGTTCGCTAGATCTTCACAAGGTAAGTGATCCAACATGGCAGGATGGGGGGAAGCAACTGTGGGAACCCTAGGGAAAGGAGTATAAGGTATCTCAGTGGTCAGGGAAAGCCTTGGATGGTCTGTAGCAGGTGGTCTGTTCCAACTCTAGCCCCCACCCGCATGGCCTTCCCCACCCTGAAATACACCATGTGTACTTAACAAGCTGCACATTCGATTAGCGACTACATGGGCGAAAGCAGGGAGTGATCACATTCATTTGACGTGATTCACTCCAATGAATCCTCAAGTTATGAATGTAATTGGCAGGCTCCGTTACATTCCTAACTTGAGGATTACCTGCACTGAATTTTGCTGTTAACAGAACAAGGGAATCTCCTAGTACTATAGATATGGGGGAAGCAGGAATTTTAATTCTTCCGAATATGAGTTGAAGGACACCTAACCGGGCATATAGATATTAAATAATATTATTCTCTTGCTATTAGATTCCAGTTAATGATGTAATCCTATACTGAAAATGTTAGAAAAGATTTAAATAGCTTCTATGTCCTTCTAACAATCTTGCATTGAACAGTAATATTTTATCTTTTAACAGCTAATATTCAATATTAGTTAAAAGTGTTTATTTTATTTTAATAGTTATAGATTTTTTTCAATTCAGAACATGTCTGAAGAGTTTGACATCTCAATATAACCTATGAAAAATATATATTTACCTAACACAACATAGTATGTGTTTGTAGAGTGTGTACAGAATGTCTCCTGCAATTTTGAAAGTTAACAAATATATGTTGATTGTGCGATTTCTTATCCAGAAGCCATTTGATTAAATCCCTTCCTCTAAGCTATTTATCACAAACAAAGTTCTGAGAAGAAACAAAATACTGCAGCTAAAACTAAAGTGATAACTCCTTTGCTCAGATCCCAAGAGTTACTTGGTGTGGTGTTAGGCAAGCCATAATTCAGGTTTGTAATAATGTTTTAACTATTAAAACACAAAGATCCTAGTTTTATAACAGGGTGTGTCTAAGTATTTAAGGATTACATCCTAGGGTAATAAATAATTATATCTAATAAAGAATATTCAAAACTAAAGTTTAAAGTTTAAAATACAATTCCAACCCCACAAGTAAAATTCCATACTGATATGATGAACTCTTCCACATGTCTGTGAAATAGATTTATTGAAGTCTATATTTAAAGTGATAATCTTACATCATTGTAGCACAGTATCATGAAATTTATAAAGATTATTAGATGAAACCAGGAAGTCTCAGTGCTTTTCTGGATGAAATAAATTTACACATCAACAAAAAAATAATAGGATTTTTTTAGCGTCTCAGACTCAACTCCATAAAGATAGCAGTAATACTCTTCCTTAAATCACAATTGCTGTTCAGTACTAATTGTAATTCAGTCTGGGGTAGCTCACCGGAAGGTGTTGGATCTATAGGAACTGGTGGTGGAAAGTTCTCTGTGAAGTTGACATTGCACAGGTTGGTACTACAGCAGCAGAAACGGTATGTCCCATTCTGAATCAAGGAAGGAGTGGTTGTTACTATGCATTCTTCAGCATGACACTCTTGGGGGTCTCCTATATGAGTCCAACACCCTAAAATAAATGGCACATAAAATAGTATATCAGTTTCATTCAGTTCATATTGTGAATCACCTTGCCCAAAGTGAGAGAAAAGGCTGGGTAATTATAGCTGATATATTCAAGGTAAGACTTTCTACCTTATTCCACATGCCCGAACCCCCAAAATGCAATGCACATGTGGCCCCCCTGCATGCGCCCCACCCAACCTCTGCATGCGCGCAACCCCTACGCATGTGTTCCGCTCCCACACATGCGCGAGCGGCCCTTTTAGCTCAAGCAGAATTGAAAATTTATCCTTTAGTCCTTTACAAAACGGATGTTGCTTACCTGAACATCCCTTCTAGGCACACTGCTGGAGAATCCAAGACCATGGGTAGTTTCCAGTCAGTTAGGCAGATACTGAGTGAATATGTCTTTAAATTATTTGTTGACTCCGCCTCCAGGGACTGGCTGAGGCTCAGTTTCTTTCACGAAGAAGGATAAAGAAGAATGACCAGGAAGCCATCCAGAACCACAGAGCAGAAGCCGGCCAGGGCGGGTTGGATTCTCCAGCAGCGCGCCAAGAAGGGACGTTCAAGTAAGCAACGTCCGTTCTCCAGCGCTCTGCTTGAAGAATCCAAGAGCGTGGGATATACCCAAGCAAGAACTATGAAGGGAGGGAGGCTGAATGCTCCCGGGTGGCTGTCGTAGAATGAACTGTCTGTAAGACACGCCGTCCTAAGGATGCCTCAGCCGAGGCAAAGAAGTCAACCTTGTAATGGCGAATAAATGGTGTAAGCGAAGTCCATGTGGCCGCCCAACAAATGTCAATCACAGACGCTTGGGTGGCCCAAGCTGCCATAGTGCGGTAGGATACGTCCAGGCAAAGGCTTGTTCTTAAGGGCGTACACCTTGGCGATGCATGCTTTGAGCCAGCGTCCGATTGTAGAAGAGGAAACTTTGAGGCCCATAGACGCAGGTAAGAAGGAAATGAAGAGTGCCTCGGACCTTCGAAACGGTGCAGCTTGCTTAATGTACCTGCAGAGGGCCCGTCGGACATCCAAGGTATGCCACTGGTCTTCTAGCCGATGCTTTGGGTCCGGACAAAAATCAGGTAGGACAAGTTCTTGTGAGCGATGGTAAAGCGAAATTACCTTGGGCAAGAAGAAGGGGTCCATCCACAGGACCGCTCTGTTTGAGTGGAAGATGCAGAGGTCGCCACGGACTGACAGTGCAGCAAGTTCGGAAACCCTTCTTGCGGAGGTGATTGCCACCAGGAACACGACCTTCAGAGTCAGGAACCGGAGGCTGATGGAGGCCAAGGGTTCGAAGGGAGGCGACATGAGCGCCTGGAGAACCAGGGAGAGGTCCCACGTTGGGTAGCGGTGGACAGGGGGACGGAGATTAGTAGCCCCCCGAAGAAAGGTACGAATCTTTGGGTGCTGGGTTAGAGGTTGATCAGATGCGCTGGTAAGACAGAGTGTAGTGCCGCAACTTGCCTGCGAAGCGTGTTTGGCGCAAGTCCTTTGTCAAATCCATCTTGTAGAAACTCGAGGATGACATAAACAGAAGCCGAGGTGGGATCGACGTGATTCTTGGAACACCACAAGCAAAACACCTGCCACATGGCGTTGTAGATCCGGTTAGTAGAGTTGCGTCTGGAAGCTTGCATGGTGGAGATCACCCGCCCTGAAAGGTTGTCCCTCTTCAGGAGGTCTCAAATGCCAGACGGTCAACTGGAGCCACTGTGGCTCTGGATGCAGAATGACCCCCTGGCTGAGAGAAATCCTGTCCCGGGGAATCCTCCAGGGACGGGTGACAGACAGACTCACTAGGTCGGCAAACCACAGCCGGCGTGGCCAATGGGGAGCAACCAGAAAAATCTCTGCGCCCTCTGACAGGATCTTGCACACTACCCTCAGGATGAGCGAGAGGGGAAGGAATGCGTATAGCAGACCCTGTGGCCAAGGGCACTGGAGAGTATCTGTCCCTTCTGAGTTCGGACATGGGAACCGGGAAAAGAACCTTGGAAGTTGAGTGTTGCAGGGCCGTGCAAACAGGTCCACAATCGGACGTCCGAATCGGGTTGTCAGCTCTCTGAAGAGTGAGGGATGTAGACGCCACTCTGCCTGATCTATACAAGACCGACTCAGCCAATCTGCCTGGATGTTGTCCGACCCGGAGATGTGTTGTGCCATAATCGAGAGTGTATGTTTCTCCGCCCAGGATAGCAGTCTCATGGCCTCATCCATCAGGGGCTTGGACCGAGTGCCCCCTTCGCGATTCACATATGCTTCGTTGGTGACGTTGTCTGTCAATATTAGCACATGTTGCCCCGCCACCTCGGAATGAAAGTATCTGAGGGCCAGATGGACTGCCCTCAGCTCCAACCAGTTGATATCGTATTGGAGCTCTGCCGATGACCAGCGTCCAGAGATGAATTTCGTTGCATTTAGAGCAGCGTCAGCAGAGTATTCGGTAGCAGCCACCAGTTTATTTATATCCTGGGGTAAGCGCATGTCATCCAGAGGGAGCCTTTCCTGAAGCTGGCGCAGCCAAATCAGTGATGCACGGTTAAAGAAGGACGCCAAGGTAGCGGCGCGGATGGCCCAGGACGCCGCTTGGTGAGTCTTACTGAAGACAAGTTCTGCCTTCCTGTCTTCTGTCCTCAGCCCATCAGCTATATCATTGGTCAGTAGAGATGAAGAGGTCAATCCAGCAACTGGCGCATCCACAGACGGTAGTTGCAGCAGCTCCTGAAGATTTGGAGCTGAGCAATACAGTTTTTTATCCAGGCCATTCGGTGCCGCCAATGACCCAGGTTGGATCCAAGACCGTTTCCGCGAAGAGCTGCGGGCAGGGTATGAATTCTTGTTCTGCCTTAGGAACAGCAAAGAGTGCCTCGTGAAGATGAAGTTCTCCGGATTGTTTGGAATGACTCTGCGAATCCGCCAATTGAGTTGTTACAATGGCTTTGTGCAGTAAACACTTGAACAGGGAGGGTCGGAAAAGGCCCGTGAAGGTTGGCCTATCAGGCAAAATGTCATCATCATCCGAGAATTCGATGTCCCTGTGGTCATCGTCATCCAACAGAGAATTCTCGCTGTGGATGGACTCCTGTCGAGAATAGTCCTCAGAGTCAACCTCGCCACATGGAGGTGCCTGCGGTCGAGGAGCAGTAGAGATGGAAGGCGGTTTATTTTATTTATTTATTATTTATTTATTTGATTTGATTTTTGTATCACCCTTCTCCAGCAGGACTCAGGGCGGTGAATAGCCGAGATAAAATAGAGCATACAAAATTTAAAAAACAGTTTAAAAGGTAATTAAATAATTTCAGCCCACAATTTAAAACAACCCAATTAAAACCAATTTCAAATTAAAACCAAACGGATGGGATCAAGCCAGCTCGGCTAGATGAAATAAATGAGTTTTCAGGGCCCGACGAAAAGTCCAGTTGGACCCCTTGGTGGATGCCCGCTGCCAGCATTCTGGTGACAGTGGCAGAAATCATGACCTGTATATCACAGTAGAGAGCCGGTTGAGGACCCTCTGTAGCACGGAGCCCCACTGCGGTGGGTGTGAAGGTGGCCTCCGGAGCAGGGTGCTGCTGTGATGGTTGAGCAGGCAACCCCGTCACAGGCATAGATAAGACAGGCACCGCCGCCCCGAGGACCTCCAGCTTGTGCCTGGGGAAGTAGAATCATTCCTGCAGGATCACCTTGGAACACTGTGGTTGGAGGCTGTGAACCGGAGGGAATCAGCTGGAGAGGCACTGCAATGGAAGAAGCCAGTTGCTGAGCAGGGGCCTGTGCCTTGCGTTGTGCCAAATCACAATGGCGCTCCAAGGCCATATGTCTCCTGGCCGCCTTGTCCTCCGCTTTGGAGCCTTTGGTGTCTTGAGATGACGAAGGCTTGGCAGTGCTTGAATGTTGCTTTGAGGCCTTTCTTGACACCTTGTTAGCAGGCTGCTCGGGCACTTGTCTGAGGGAGGGCTGTGGGCCTGCTCCAGATCAGAGGAGAGTTCTGAATCTGCCATATCAATGGCTCCTATATATATATGTTATTTTATATTATTTTTAATGTTTTGTTTTGTTTTGAACAAGGGAGTGTATGATTCAAGGTCAGTCCAGAGCGCACCCCCAATCCAACACCACAAGTCCTGTAAGTGCCTCTGGCACTACAAGAACAAGCGTCCCAAGAGAAGCACAGAAGGCACTGGCACCAACAGAGCAAGTCGTCCCAGGAAACAGTCAAAGGAGGGCGACTGCAATGGAGGCAATAACTGTCGAGAATGAGAGCTCACAGTAAGCGCTGAAAGGTGTTGAAAAGCGCTGGAGCAGGTCCCTACTCCACTCGCACTGCCTCGCAAGTTTGCATGACAGGCACAAAGCCGATCAGCCGTTCTGTGCAGGGTCGGCTTCAAGTTAGCAATATCCAGGCGCATAGAGAAGGGAGCGCTAAATGGCTCCGCGGAACAACGATGACAGTTCAAAATGGCTCGAGCGCGGGAAACCGTCCTGAAGCACCTCTGCGGTCCTGCTGACAAGCCAAACGCGCGAACACTCAAAAGTGCTCCAAGATAACGGAGTGAGCCTCAGATCACAAGGCAAGAACCCCGAAGCCACCCAAGGTATCCGTGGAGCAGAGAGGTGGTGGCGGTTGAGACGGCAAGCCGGGGAACCAGCACACACACCGGCGGCAACACGATCGCACACAGAGATGCCCCTGGTGAAGGCAGAGCTCTGTGGCACAGTGTGAAGGAAAACCGAGCGGTGTTAGATGGCCTGGAGCCCCAGGCTGACTCACCCACCGCTGGCAGCAGAGCGGGGAGATAGCACACACGAGTCTCCAGCAATCCACAAGTAGAAAAACAGTTTCAATAAATGAATGATTATAGAAACAAAGGAAAAGGTGGGAAAAAAACTAAAGTTTTGAAGGAAAAATTCCTCAGAGAAATGGAATAACAGTCTCTATAGCCTGACTGAGTGAAAGGAACTGAGTCTCAGCCAGTCCCTGGAGGCGGAGTCAACAAATAATTTAAAGACATATTCACTCAGTATCTGCCTAACTGACTGGAAACTACCCACGCTCTTGGAACCAACCAACCAAACCAAATTTTAAAAAGTTGAAAAGCAATCCACTGGTACAATCAGATATTTTTTATTTTTATTTACCACTTCACAACAGTAATAAGTATAAAATAACAATTATATTGTATGTACATCAGCAGTATAGCGTTCCATTTGCTTTTTGTAATAAACCAGGAATCTTAACTTAAGATATAATATGGACAAGGAACATATATAACATAGTTCCACCCACTGTACAAGCATATAAGCTTGTTAGAAAGCACATATTAAAGAACACTGAGTTTGGGATTATGATTCTGAATACTGAAATCATCTCTACTGATTTTGATATAATCCAAGATCCTTATTCCCTGCTTGGTATGTTTATCCATTTGTGCAAAAAAAAAGTAAATGGAATTGTTAAGCATAACACTCTTCATTATATACTTTAATAAATCAGCTTCTGGCTTATGATTATTACAAATTGAACAGTGATTCTTGAACAAGAGCCAAAACTATGAGCAATGTGGGCCTGATTAAAAATTCTCAAAGGTCCAGAGACTGTAGCCTTTAATGTAACAATAGATGAGACTGTGGGTTGCCCCCGGTTCGCACCGGTTCTATAGAACCGGTAGTAAAACCAGCGGGAAGCTCCGCCCACTGACCCCGACATCATAAAAACGCTTCTGCACATGCTCAGTAGAGCGCGCAGCCCTGTTGTGAACCGGTAGTAAAGGAAAGTAGAACCCACCCCTGAATCCATGTACTGTATAATCTATGTATTGTTAGTAGTTATAAATACTGTGTTGTTGTTCCTTTTATATCTCACCTGGATATAAAATCTTAGAGTTTGGAAGCTGTATATCTGCTCAGGAAAAAGAAGGTAAGCAGAAAATATCCCAGGAGGCTAGAGGTTATAGGTTTCAGATAAATAGATGTTTTGGGATAAGCTAACATTCAACAGCAGCCATTTCTGGGAAATTTCCCATAATAAACTCTACATTTTCCAAATACCTCCTGTGCCAAAAAGGTTAGTAACCCATAGCAGATCTTCATTAAAAATATTACATCAAAACATAATAGAAAAAATAAAACAGCACCACAATGGTTGAAATTACCTTGTTTTACAAGATGTATTTCTCCTTCTCGGGTTTTCTCCCAGAGACCATAGCAGGTACTTCCTTTCATACATAAAACTGTACCATTCTCTTGAGAAATCTGACTTTCACTAATTCCATGTTCATTTTGGTAGGAGTCTCTAAAAGCACATTTTGTCTCTTCACCTTGCACAGCTAAAGAAGAAAATTAAAACTATTATTAAGATTATGCCAAGGTTTAAAACTAGACATAGCTGACAAAACAGAAGAGCAAATTTGATACTTCAGAATTCATCTGCAAAAGGAAAATAATGGGATTCTAATGTATATCAGTACAATCCATTTGAGTGTGCATAATTTTCCTTGAAAATTGGTGTGTGTACATGATTACACTATGTACAATTCCTTTTTATTTATAAACATTATATTGTTCCCTGAATAGCAATGTTTTGAAGCATATTAAATTGTGAATATGATAAAAAGGATCGAACTTACAGGCTTAATTTCCAGTTTCAAATGATGTGTTGAATTACAACTTTGGATCACTACTCAGCTAAGTGATGAAATCCCTTAAGCTTTTGATTGATTTACTGAAAAAGTGATAAACAAACAACAACTTTTCTTGTATAAAGTACTTGCCAGTGGCACAGTACATGAACACAGAAGGGGAAATTTGGTGATAAGATAAAAATTCCAAAGATAAAATACTATATTAAACTACCCCAAACAAAACAGAACACCCCCAAAAATGAAAAATAATCTTACAATGAACTCAACATTTAAAATAACAAACTTAAATAATTAATCTTTTATTTACTATGAATATAAAATCCATTTAAAATAGACATATAGACAGATGCATAGATACCAAGCTACTAAAATAACAAGGCTTCAATTTTTCTTTACTATTATAGTGATTCATTTGTTAAACAATAAAGGAAATCTAGATCATACAGCTCCACTTTTAAGTTCTATTATATTCTCTGCATTAAAATTACAATCAGCATTTGGAAGATGTTAAGACAATACATATAATTTAGATACTTATTGATTCGACACATTCTGGAGTAATCCCAGTTTGAAAACTGCAGACAATTTGTTTTTCAAGTTGTATTAGTTGTGGGAAGCTCCTTCCTGGAAGAATGAAATATTTTGAGGAATATTTTAAAAAAGCAGAATATTATATTTCCTAGATGAGAAATGGCAAAACATGTTTTTTTAGAAGCAGGAAGCAGCCCCAATCTCTCTGCCCCCAAGCAGAAACTGAGGAGGCACTTTTTAGAAATGCAGATTTGGTAATCTATTCAAGACAGGATATTTTGAAACTCCCTGCAGCAAAGTCTGAACAAAGGCAGAATGGTAAGATTAGCCCCTCACTCAAGATCCAATCCAAGACAAAGCCATTAAGCCACAATAGGAATTGCCCAACACCCTTTCAGAGCACAAGCCCCTTCATTGCATCATCCCACAGCAGTCCAAACTTCAACCAAATTATCTCCGACAAGCACCTAGGATTTTTAGAATAGAATAGAATAGAATAGAATAGAATAGAATAGAATAGAATATCTTTATTGGCCAAGTGTGATTGGACACACAATCACACTTGGAATTTGTCTTGGTGCATACGCTCTCAGTGTACATAAAATACATTCGTCAAGAATCATAAGGTACAACACTTAATGATAGTCATAGGGAACAAATAAGCAATCAAATCATATTAGGAAACAGTCAATATAAATCGTAAGGATACCAGCAACAAGGTTACAGTCATACAGTCATAAGTGGGTGATAGGAATGATGAGAAGATTAATAGCAATGCAGACTTAATAACTAGTTTGACAGTGTTGAGGGAATTATTTGTTTAGCAGAGTGATGGCATTTGGGAAAAAACTTCTTATGTCTAGTTGTTCTGGTGTGCAGTGCTCTATAGCGTCGTTTTGAGGGTAGGAGTTGAAATAGTTTATGTCCAGGATGCGAGAGGTCTGTAAATATTTTCACAGCCCTCTTTTTGACTCGTGCAGTATACAGGTCCTCAATGGAAGGCAGGTTGGTAGTAATAGTTTTTTCTGCAGTTCTAATTATCCTCTGAAGTCTGTGTCTGTCTTAATGAGTTGCAGAACCAAACCAGACAGTTATAGAGATGCAAATAACAGACTCAATAATTCCTCTGTAGAACTGGATCAGCAGCTCCTTGGGCAGTTTGAGCTTTCTGAGTTGGCGCAGAAATAACATTCTTTATTGTGCTTTTTTGATGAAGTTTTTGATGTTAGGTGTCCATTTTAGGTCTTGAGATATGGTAGAATCTACAAATTTGAAGGTCTCTACTGTTGATACTGTGTTGTCTAGTATTGTAAGAGATGATAGTATGGAAGGGTTTCTCCTAAAGTCTACCACCATTTCTACTGGTTTGAGTGTGTTCAGTTCCAGATTGTTCTGGTCCCACCATGACCAGAACTTTTGCACTTCCTCTTTTGTCTATATAGCCAACTATGACCCCTACATAACCCCTACATGACCCCACAGGAATCTGACAACAGCGAATAGAATATTAAAGGACATGTTCTTGAACAGGAAGCTCAAATACAAAGCCCAGAGAAGGTATAAATCCCACCCCCCCTCTCAACTCCCTTTTGTTCAGCTGCACCAGAATCATAAACGTGTGGTTCTGCTTCATCATTGAACCATCTTTCCAATCAGCCTCCATGTTTCCAGTGTCTTTCTCCCAGCTTGGAACTGAACGAGACGGATATTACTTCCAACACAGTCAATTAGTGTTATTGAAGGTTTAGATCAGTTCACTGCCAATTGCATTTTTAAAGCCTTTGAATGACTGCAAGAGGAATCTGGATTGTTTAAAATGCAAAGTGGCAGTATATTAAATGGTCCAGATACAACTGAGTTGGAATGTGCTGTATTAACAAAACAATGGCTTAAAGAATATTAAATTATAAATTTTAAGAATTAGGGATGTTATGATATGAAGAACAGAGAGAAGGTAGCAAGATTATACTTCAGTGTCAGAAAAGGAGTGCAACCCAAATTTACAATCCTGGCTCATAAATATATGTTTGTGTTAATGAGCCTAGTACACAAGTAGTCCTCTCTTAATAATCGATAGCTTAGTGACCATCTGAAGTTGTGGCAGAGCCCTCTCCCAAAGATACTTATGACCCAGTGCCAAAGTTATAGGTTGCTCACCCTTACAACCGTTAGAAAATATTTGTAGGTCACGGTTGAAATGAGGGGTCCTTGGTGCTCTCTGAGCTTCGTTGTTTTCTTGCAGACATTTCACTATCCAAACTAAGTAACATCATCAGTGCTAGAGGGGAGTGATGTTTGCTCTCAATTTATATTTGTCAGTTAGTGGGAGTGATCTTACTGATTCTTTGGTTGGGCTGTAAACTGTAAACAAGACCTAACTCCAACTCCCTACTAGCACTGAAATGTTACCTAATTTATTTATTTATTTATTTATTTGGGTAATGAAACATTTGTAAGAAAACCATTAAGCTCAGAGAGCATCAAGAGCCTTTTTTAATCAACTGCAGGGATGGGACAGAGAGAAAGGCTTGCAGGTGGAGGTGGGGGAAGCAGGCCCAAGGGCTGTGGGGACTCAGAGGAGATTACTATAGATTACTGGAATAGTTTCATTACAAAGAAAAAAGCCTTGAGAAATAAGAGATCAACTGAAAGTTTTAACAATCGTTTCTCAAAGCACAATCATCCTGTCTAAGAGAAAATGGTTACCATCTTATTCTAATAGGATTTACCTAATTCTACACTGTGGTAATAAATTTTGTTTGTGTTTTTAAAGGGCAAAAGTACGTCTACTTTGGTAGAAGTCACTAAACCACAATGTATAGTTTTTAAAAGATTTTTTTTTTTATCCCATCTTTGTTATTTTTATAAATAACTCATTACTTTTCATACAATTTTCTTAAAACATAGTTTGGATATAAATTGAATAAACTGAATTGCATTTATTTACAACTTTTTTAAAAAAAAAGTGAGGAGGGAATTAAAAGTATTCATAAAGTTGTTTCATGCCTATGAGGGGGAAAAACTTGTACTCTCTCATGAGCACCATGATATAAATCTCAATCCAAACTGCATGAACATCATGCACTTTATTAATTTATTTGCAGCATATGCAGGATAGACAATACTATATGAGATTTTTTCAGACATCTCTGAAGACAAAGGAGCTAGCATATGTTCATCTGATTAACATTTGTGAGTTGCATATACAGTTTTATTCTCAGAAACATGCATTTTTTCCTGGAACACTTAGCTCCCCTGTATTTTCTGGTTCTTGGCAAGAGATAACAAAAAACCACAAAAAAAAAACCACACACACACACAAAAAAAAACAAAGACAGGATATTTCAATCTCATGTGACAAAGAACTATTCATTTCTTGAATCTAAACATAAATATAACTGATGTGACTCAAAGGAAAAGTGAGGATTTATATATTCTTGGTAAGTGTTTGTGTCCCCTACAAATTCTTATCCCTACAAATCCTTAATAGTTATATACTACCTTTGAACTTACAAAATTAAAACCACAATATTGCTATTAATATTCAGATAAACATGCTATAAGTCATGATATATGTTAGATTGTAATTAATAGTATGGAAATCCATTATATATACACACAGAATATAAACTGTAAGCTGATATTTACAAAGGTCAATTCAGTGTTTCAGAATTTTCAAAACAGAGAGAACAGAACAAATGTGTAACCTTAATATTGTAATCTTAATGATCTCTTGGAAGTTCTTCCTATAATAGCAACTGGATTTACTTCATCATCATGTGGAATGTTCTTCTGAGAGATTGCATCTATAAATAAACCTCATCAAATATTAACTCCTGCACAATTAATTCCTGATCTGTTAAGATATGTTTTGCTACCTTTAGCAAATCCAACACATCTGCTTATTCTATTGGCATACTAATGCTGAAGAAATTGGTTGTTTTGTTTTATATTTTGCATGGTTTTCATAAGGTTATGTAAGCAAATGTTATACTTTTTCTATCAGTCATTTTGGTTATATTCAGTACATTTTACTAAAAAATAGAGTTCTCTCAGCTTCATGCTTTTCTGATATATACAATTCTTTATACACTTTTTCTAGCGGATCAAGCCTTGAACCATTAAAACTGGGTAGAGACTTAGATTCTTATTAG